GCTACCGTCTCATCGTGGTAGTGCTCCGCGCGCATATAACCATGAGACCATATCATCACATCATAGGAAATCGAGGTCTGGAAGGTCACCCGTGCTAGTACATCAGCTCTACGCTCGTCGATCAAATCCCTAGCTCGTTGTCTGCACTCACTCGCTGCCAAATCCTCGTCTACGTACGCTCGGAGAAGTACTGTCACAGTGTATCCTGCGCTTACCAGTTGCTCTTCTACACGCATCACCGTGGTCGTCCTTCCCGGCATTCCCTAAGCTGCGGCCTCGAAGAGAAATCTCGCGTCCTCTAGCCCCGCGTAATCGATCTCTGCCCGTCTCCTGCAGTACCTAATCAGATCGATAGGCGTCAGACAGTCCACTCAGCTCGTAACATCTATGATGTCGTCAAGCGTCTCTCTACTGGGCGGGCCCCACCTCACACAAATGGCGTAGTATACTTCCTTGAAGCCGGGCGCTAAGCCCTCCCAGAGCGCGTAAAGTGTGTGGCCCACTCCTCTACTCAAACGATCCACGCTCTCATAGGTATGCCCTATCACGAAGGTAGGAAGTCCGAATCGCCAATCTTTTCTCGGGTAGAGGGTCGGATGTGGTGGACCGTATACCAAGCAGCTCCAACTCGTCCTCCCTCCAGATAATCTCGCCAATTGCTGATTAACGATCACTCTGGCCAACAACTCGCTTTTCCACCAACTTCTGCTCGCCTCTGCGAGCGTTAGCCCTATCTCTAAATTGTGTGTTCTATCCGATATCAGATGTCCGACCCCTTCTAGATCATGAGTCATCTCGGGTCGTTCGTCTCGTAGTATCACTGTCCATAGGAAGAGCCCTCTGCGAGCCACGTTCCCAAGTATCGTATCGGTACACGCCCTGCCTCTTCTAACGTCACAGGAAGTGGTATGTCGTATCCAACCGCCGTCTCTCTGGGTCCCACAAGCTTCCTCACACTATACGATTCGGACTCTCGTGAGAGAACATAAGCTAACCAGGCCACTGAATCACTCCTCATCTCTCCTCCTACTCTCGGTCAGCATCACTCTACTCCCTCCGATGCACCCCATCTCTCGACGTTGTTAACCCTTCAGACAACTCTCACACTCTGGTCCAGTATGGTCGAGTAGGTTCAGTAGTCAGGCTCACTCAACCATCGCCCTGATGTGCTCCTCTGCCTCCTACGCCCGGACCGCTACTCCTATCCTGGAAAAATGGGCGTCTATAACGTCAATCTCCTCCTCGTCAACCTCACTCTCTGGGTCGACCCTGTCTGGCTCCCACAGCTCCTCGCCGTCCTCTCGCTCCCAACCCTC